TGGATTGCATACGAGCGGTAAGTTGGGCAGGTAAAATCGATCCAAGTGCAATTAAATTCACGACGCACACAGTGCGTCGTAGCTCAATCGGTGGTGTTGGCTGCGCAAGGGCCTTTCCTGCTGTGCGGGTTCGACTCCCGCCGACACCGCGGGTTTTTTCACAACTGGGTCAACTAAAATTAAGTTAATAGTTATTATTACATAGCATTCAAGTGAAGCGTTGAAACCCAAGTATGGAAATACGATGCGCTGGAAGCTGATCTGTACATACTGACATAATGAAGTCTCAGGGAGCATTTAACTCGTCTCTTTTCAAAATGTCGATGATCGAATAGTTTCTCCTTCTCGATTCCGGCAACTAGCACCGCGAGACCACAGACGGTGATATTTAATAAGAGGAAGAAAGAGGAAAATGAAAAGACAAACAAAGCTCCGCAGAACAGAAGCCGCGGGCTACTCCTCCTTCTGTTCGGTTAAAAAAATGAGTTATCTGGAAAGAAGCCGACATCGCCGGATGTCAGTGTAAATAAAATGACTCTGGCGGGTGGAAGTAGAGAAAATTAAAACTCGTGCTTGATGCGGTTCGACCGTGCGACGCGCAAAGCGGACAACCACTTGTGTGGAGGCCTGAATCAGCCAGCTCTGACCGCTTCTGCGTAAAGCGGAAGTGGTGCTTGCGTAAACCGACCTGCTGAGACGGTGACGGAATTGCGAAAAAGGTTGACTATGAGTATGTGCGGAAAACTACCCAAATTGACATGACCAAGTAGAGAGCTACACGTCCCCATACCCATGGCACATTTAAGGAAGAATGAGTAGCAGTGGCTGGTGGCGAATATTAAGGATCACTGAAGATGGATTGGGAGTGAAATTATTGAGGAATAAATTGCGTGACATTGACTTCTCACTCTCTGTTCCGCGTCTCCTCGTTAACACTAAGCCAAGAAGACAAATAGGGAAGATGAGCGCAGCGGTTGAGATGGTGTAAGCGGCGTATCTGGCGGCTAAAAAACTATTGGTCTTCTCAATTACAAAAACGTAACTAATCACGTACAGAAAAGCACTGAGACGGAAAACATGCCGGCTACCCTCAAACAAGGCGTGGTCACCGCGAAGATACGAGCTGAGTTCCGGAAAGGGGTGATGAAGGACAGTGACGGTGATACAGGAAACATAAGCATTATCTATGACGAGGAACAGGGACATCTCCACCGGAAAAGAGCGAAATTGTAGTGTAACAGTCTACGAATCACAGCCCTCCACTCATACTGGTTTTTCAGTTCATTAAATGGTGTTTGAACAGAATGTCATGCTACATGGCAAGAAGGGATGGTCTAACCTGCCTCGGAGCGTGCTTGCTTCTTGCTGGCGCCGCAGCCCACGGCGTAGACGACGTCGTTAATCACAACAGAGACGCGGTACGGAGACTTGTCCGTTTCCTGGATCGCGGTTCGATAGGTGGGCGGTTTTCGCATCACATTTTGACAGTATTCGTGAAGAATACAGACAGTCGATTTCCCGGCAGGATTTATGACGCGCTCTTGAAAGGAAAGTAGCAAAAAGGTGATTTAATATTAAAATTTTGCAATAGACTAACACATTGGAGCCCCAATAATAGGCTCACACTAAGTGAAAATGCAGAGCGCACGTAAAAAAATCTTTCGGTATGGGTACTTGCGAATGGACTCAAAAGAAAACTGAAGAGGAAAATAATGGACGAAAAAACCGGGAACTTATCAAGGTGTCCAACAAAACACACAACATTAGCCCTGAAGGAAATAATATAAAACTACTCACGATTGATGCTCCTAGGATATAGGGTGAGAAGACTGTTTAGGTGAATAAAGTTAAAATTCGTCAGTGATTTTATCCCTCCCACTGGCTTCCCGAACTGATTCCCGACGGGTGTTGTTTATAAGACCGACATTAGGAGCAGTCGGTATAAATAGAACTGAAAAAATGCGGGCTGACTGTCGCCCACCACGCGCTTCATCACTAAGCAGCACGGTGATAAGTTGGGCATAACCTTTCTCATTTTAGGGGATAATAACATAGAGGGTGAAGCCAGTAACAAGGCCAATCCCCCGGCACACGGATTGCAACTTTCTAGCTAACCCTAACTCTCCACTCAAACTAACTCTAACCTGACTCGGAATTCTACCCTAACCTTATCCGCACGTATACCCTAATTCTAACTGAAATTATTTATTCCGAGGCCACTTGTATTAGGGAGGAGAGAGTCCTTTTCCCATCTGCAGGTGTCATACCCCACCTAGGCCATAACGCGGCGTGGTCACGTAGTTCACACTTCCCAGAAGGCCAACAATGGTACATCAAAAAGTAAGTGCAGACTCACTCTTGGTCGCAAGTGGGGCCGTCCGTACGAAGGCAACCTTCAGAGCCAGGGTTGTGATAGTTTCAAAGTTCATTTGAGCACTTACTGTGGAGACTTAAGTCCTAGATCCACTTTGGCTCGACGTTCCCCTATTCTTTCACCAATGCATTAGTAGTTTGGCGGACTATAGCCGCCTGCACACAATATGTGTCTGAGGTGATTCGTTGTCGGCGTCCATCTATGTAGCATCAACGCTCTGATATCCGAAGTTCAAGGTTCCATAACGGTCAAAGTAAGGGCTCATTACAAACTTACGCTCCTTAAAAACGGTGATGTACTTATCCAGTCAGCTGGCAGGCACCCGACCCACGACTGAGGTGCATCAGCTGTATTAAGATGGGGGAAACGCTGGTTTGCCACGGCGACGGGTTCACATCAGTGGCTTCAATCTACGCTTTCTCCCCTACACGTCAATGACTTGTTCGAAGCCTTCATATGACAGTGGATAACGTGGCGCCGAGCCCCCGTCTATCGCAAGATGTGCGTGCGTATAAGCACGTGCATAACATGTCGTCATAATCGACCTTGCGTAGGCATCACTG